TTCTAGCTGAGGGCCTGGATCCCACTGCAGTGTCCGGCATGAGTTCAGCTGAAGACCTAGAACCCATACCAATGCCCCCCATGCATCCAACTGGAGGCCTAAAGCCCATGGCAATCTCTCATGAAGGCCTGTTTCATGAATGCACTGGGAAAGCCCAAAGATTAGTGGTGGAAGCTAGAAAGTCTGTGCCAGCAGGCTGAGGGATCTGTACTAGCAGGCTGAGGGATCTGCACTAGAGCCAGGAAGTGACACTCCAGGTAAGAAGCCAGAGCTCCCCAGGAAAGTATCACAGCCGTCCTCAGCAATGGTGAGGTCGCAAGCTCCTCTGACAATGAAGAAAGCTTTCCATCTGGAAAGCCAATGGATAAGCTGCTCCATGAGGCTGAGCAGTATACCATCTTCCCTTCTGGAGCCAGGAAGCTATGTTCAAGGTGAGGAACAGAGCGCCCCCAAAGTGAACCATTATCATTCTCAGTGACAGCAAGGTCCTGAGCTCCTCCTCCAAAGAGAAAGCTAAATTCATCAGGAAGGCCAGCATGACAGTCCTCCAACAAAATAGCACAAGAGAAACAACAGCTCTCTAACAGCTTCCCAACAGCTTCTTAGTTCTGCCACTCATGCTGCTGGCGATAATCCTCAAGTGGGCCTCCTACATCCAGCACCAAGAGAGTGCAGTTGAGCTGGGTATAACAAGTTGACCACCAGTTGGCCATCCACCACTGTTATGATTGTATGTTATGATTTGTATCTGGTTGTCCCCCCAAATCCTCATGCAGTCATAGGGCAGACTTCTAGAGTTTGTGATTAACTCTGATCCACTTGGATTATTAGAGTGCTGCTGGGATTATGGATGTGAGTACTACACCCAGCCTGGGGCAGACAGCCTGAATGCGATTTAAGGGAGACAGATTTGTTCTCTGTTGCTAATGGTGCCAATGCCTCCCATTCGCTCTTGCTCTTTGCTGCTGCCATGAACAGCTGCTCTATGCCATGTGCCACTCTGCCTTGGAGCCAGCCAAGTAAAGACTAAAACCTCCATGAACTATGAGCTAAATAAACCTTTCTTTCCCTAATTTTTTTTTTTTTGTATTTTTTTAATACAGGGTCTTCAGGGTCTCACTACATAGATTGGACTCAGTGATTCTCCTGTTTTCAGCCTCCCAAGTGCTGGAATTACAGGAGAACACCACCATGCCCAGTCTCAATTGCAGTCTCAGTGGGCCCTGAGGGGAGGGGCTGGCACAGCACGCCAAGGATGGAACCCCGGCGAGGGTGCTCTGCCTAAGCAGGTGCTTTAGTCCACTGAGCTATATGGCTGGCCCTCTTCCCTAATTTTGAATGTTGGATATTTGTCCCAGCAATGAGAGAAGAGTAACTGAGACAACCACAACACATTCCTTGAATTTGTTCAAATTAAAAAGTGGTATAGTATTCAGTTCAGACCACATGGTATACTCCATGGCTTAGGGGCATAAATGTCAGTACAATAGACAACATAAATGAAAAGATAGACTCAGATTAGGAAAGGACTTGACACTTTGGGCAAGTCATGCCCAATCTAGAGTAGGCAATCACTTGTTGGCCTCAGCCAGTTGTGGCCATAAAGCAGAAAGCCAGACTTCTGTCCACAGATAAATCTGGTTTTTAATGTTGGCAATTAACTCAAACCATTTAGAAATCCTAGAATGGTACACTGGAAGTAAAAGGAGTCATGCAAACGAACTGGAATATTATGACATGGGAAAAATAGCAGGTGGTGGCTTAAGGGTTATGAGCCCTTCTGCAAAACCTTGATTTTCTCACTCAGAGCTACTGACTCTAAAAGGATCATCAAAAGATTTAAGCAAAGGTGGGCATGGTGGTGCACACCTGTAACTCCAGAATTTGGGAGGCTGAGACTGGAAGATTGTTGTGAGTTTGAGACCAGTCTGGGCTACAAAGTGAGTTCAAGGTCAGACTGAATTGCATTGCAAGATAGTTACCAACGCTTTATTCTCAGGAGAGTTAACTCAAACCTAGCCTTCAAAAATCTTATTTTTAGAAAAAAAAAAAAAGTAAGCAAGGTGGGGGCTAGGGATTTAGGTCAGCGGCGCAACACTTACCTAGCAAGCTGGGAGTCCTGGGTTTGGTCCTCAGTACCACAAACAAAAACAAAAAATAAGCCTCAACTAAAAAACAGACCA